TATTAAACAAGATATACTTGTAACTAAATACATTAGTTATTAAAATTATTACTTATTTATTTTGTAATTATTTTTTGACAAGAAAGTATATATCTTTTATTAAGTATACTAACAAAAATTTTAAATTATTTGTTATTTGTAAGTATAAATAATATTGATTTATAATAATTTAATATATAAACTTCTTGTTGATATTATTAACTTTTGCTTGATCTTTATATTTATATAAATAGAAACATTGAATATTTAGAGAAAATTAATTTATTACAAGATAAGTGCTATAATATTTTGCATTAAAATATTGAGTTATTGTTAATATTATAGTCTTTTTTTTAAAGTAAACATAATATATTTTACAAAGTGTTAAGCCATCAAATTGTTTAATAATATAATCATATATAGTAATTATCTTTTTACATTTTGTCAGAGTATTATTAATATTTGAAGTATGACTTAGTATACTACTTAATCTATTACTTATTGATGTGAAACTCTCTTTTTGGTAATATTTTATTATAATCTACATTATTAGCAAGAAACAAAACTAGTTTACTTGGTAAATTATTATGTGTGCTTGAATTAAAAGTAGCCTGAGTGTCTTCAAACTCATTAGTTTTTTTTGTCATGTATTTCAAGTAAGAGAAAGAAGTCATGTTTGTAATATATTATAATTATTTTATATTACAAGCTTATTTTTATGTGGATGCAACATAGCAAAAAAAAAGTCAAAAACCCTTTCTCATACCAGAAATAAGAGAGAGAGGGAAGAGCAAGATGAAGAAAATAGCAAAATGACATTATATTACTATATATTAATATTATCTAGGATGGTCCTACAAATTGTCTCAGATCATCCTTAGATAGGACTCGTTCCTATGATTAATTACATGACTAAATGAGATCGTGAAATCAAAATTTTCTAAAATTAGGATTGGACTTGAATTATCTGTTAAAAGATCATCCAGAACTTGATCCTTAAGGACTGATTAACATCACTAGATAATTCACACTGCAATATAACAAGGGGATATTTTCTATATATAGTAAGACTGCCCTAAATAAGAACATACCCTTCTTAATTACATTCTTTTTTCTGGTCCCGAACTGGAATCATAGTGCTAAATGCACACCCTCTATATTCTACACGTGCAATGAATTTTCTGGTTCCATTATATTTAAGTTCTCTCCGTAAGTGCACAGCATGTGACAAAAATCGTGTGCATCCAATGAAAATTTGATTAGTAGACAGTTTGGAGATGATTTTTAGGATCGATTGCAACAATCTTGATGTAAATTAATAATGATACGAGATTTACTACTAATGCAATCAATGATGTGGGCATTTATGAATTAAATTTTAATAATATAATGCATTATTACACCATATAACATGATCCTAACTCTAAATTTTTTAAGTGCACACCCTCTCTAAATACACGCTCATAGCCGGTCCAGAGGGGGTGCATTCAGGGAGAATTCACTGTACGAATAATTTTATTATATATTCGAATACTTACTCGAAAAATATATCTTCGAATAAAATTAGATAAATATTTGAAGAACTCAAATTTTTTCGAATAGTAAGATAGGATTGTAAATCATTTTGTACATGTGATTTAAGCTATTATTTTGATTGGTCAGAAGGTTTCGTCACAAGTTTCGTCAATCGTCATGGGTTTCCGGCGAATGACGTGACGAAACCTTTCGTCATTATGAATAGTTTCGTCAGGTATCATTAGTCACGATAGAAATTTCGTATAAGGAGTATACCAAATATACTGTTGAGATGCTAGTATCCTATGCCAGAAAACAGACCAATTTCTAAGGAACTTTTTGACTTTATCAGTTTACTATCCAGACTAGCATTATTTAAAAGCATTGTTACAAATATAAAATCCACACACATACAATTTACACTGGTCGAATCTTTATTTCAACATTAATTTCAATTCCAAATGATAAAGATACTTTCCATATTGACATTTCGCATTAATATCAATATTATATCTGTTTATTTTACTAGTAACCCTTGTTTAGCGCAAGAAATATCGAAATTAAAAATTTTTCAGTTCGGTTACGCGATATAGAGCAAAATTTTATTTATGAAAACAACACCTTCAATTAAAGAATGTAGTGATCAATCTCTCCCCGTTGATTTAAGATGAAGGATAATCAACTTACACAATTTTGCTGAAACAAGTCTCTGAATTTTTCGATAGTTTTCAAGAGTATATTATAGATAAACACTTATTATAAAAGATCATGTCTAATCTTTAGCATTATTCGATTGTAACTCTTCATGTAAAACTGTTGAAGCATGTTTATTATCATTATTTTTATAAGGGAGAGGGGTATTATGACGAATGGGGTTATTATGACGAACTAATAAAAATGTTGGACCGACTAGAGTTCAGAAAGAATATGCTTAATTGTCACAACTGTCTTTAATTCTTTATATAATGTCAATTACGCATTTTCCTTTTTTAACTCGGGTAAGCATATTATAACGGATCGGGATTATTGGGTGAAAGATTGCAGAAACGAAACGACAAAAAGAAGTAGGAACTCAAAAGAAAACCGCGCGAAGCATAACCTAGAACAAAGAAAAAAAGAGCGAGTTAGAAAAAAACAAGTTAAACAAACAGAAAATGAGTAATATCGAACTACTTATACATGTAGAAAAAAATTTCTAAATTCGTCACAATACGTACCCCTTCGCATCAAATTTCCAATTTTATGTATCATGCGCAAAAAGCGATGATTTTTGCCTTCTTATATTGTATTAGGTTAATTCTAAATATGCCATAACGCGCTAGTATTAGCGGTTAAAAATTTTCAAATTTTCATGGCATTAATAAAAAGTTTTCCTTGTAGCAAGTTTAACTTCGTCATAATACCCCCTCTCCCTTATATTTAAAATATATACATGTAAAATGATTTCTAATCCTTCTATATAATAGATGTTTATCCAAAAAGCACTTTATATCAAATGTCGATGTTGTGCTATGCTAATGATGAAGACGAAAAGGAAAATATAGCTCGAGTTGTAAGATTATCAATATGTATGATTGGTTGATGGTTATCAAGTCCATCTTGGAACGTGATGGACCAATCAACGAGAAGGAAGTCCAGTAAGTTTTCTTTCTAATTAGTTATGTAATTATTTTTTGGTAGATATAGATTTTTTAATTCTTGATTATAATTTTTTGAAAAGAGCAAGATGCAAACACTTGATTTCGTAAATCAAGGCGGATCATTTTCAACGATTGACTTTGGTTCTTATATAGCATAAGTTGTGTGTAATTTTCATGACGTGATGCATGCTTGCTGCGGGATAATAGTGCATACCAGTATTAATAGATGTTAAGACTAAACAGCCGAAAATCCTGTCTTCTTCCATCAATGATTGCTCGTATTATCCTTTATTTATCGCTGCTTTCGAAATAAATGTCCATGTAGTTGGATCGGCGAATTTTGTGATTCGCCAATTAGACGATTTCGAAAAAGCAATAAAATTTCATAACGATAACGAGATAAAACTGGTAATCGATAAAAAAGTACGTATACATGTAGTACGTACATGTACGTACATACCATGGGTATTTTACATTGAACGATTGGTTATGTACGTACGTAATACGTAGAAAGTTAACGTTAATGATCAACTATTTTTGTGATTATTAATTTGCGACAAAAAACCCTTTTATGGTCTTATTATTGACTACTACACAATGATATCGATATTCATTGCACACTAAGAGTTTATTATTTGGTAAATTTAAACAAAGGATAATAGTTAGCCGAAAAATCCTGACTTGAGTTTATATCTTCCTGATTAATATATATAACAGATAGTATCTCTCATTTTATTATTCGAGACTTAAGGAAATACTTCCATTAAAAATATGCACAATTGGCAACTCTACACACTACGTATTATGGTAATATATTGACAATATAACCATTTAGAGATTAGGGATGGTGAACACACGGTAAATTCACCACGTAAATATTAACTGTTGGTCAAATGATGTCGATAACAATTTTGATATCTTGCTTTTTTGTTTGGAGAACCAATATGATATTTCAATCTGTTTCCCGATATAGCGATCTAAAGAGTTATTAATTGATTCATGTATATGAAATCTGTGCAGGCTGCGCAGTTTATAACAAGATTTTTGAGTTTTATCGAAGTTTTCTTATTTAATTGCATATTCTGCACACCATTCACACGGGCTGCACAATAATACAAGGTAGTAATTATTTAATTAGAATCTTATGATTGTGTAAATGAATAGAGAGATGTTAACGAATGCGATTTTTTTCATGTAGACCTTGGTTCCAATCGGTTTGCATATTAAAAAAAAACACAATTACGAACCTAGTTGAAACTGTTGCATAAGTGATTGACGAGATTATAATAATTATAATAATATGAATGGATAGATTTCTTGTCGTTGAACACTGCATTGACTATAAACAGACATTTGAATCAAGGAAAACTAAATAGGAAATCTCAGGCAAGTTTTAGATCAGCTGCAGTACATTATAATAGCGCGTGATTGTTTCACATTTCCGTAGGAACCCGAGTTAACAAAATGGATTATGTTACCTTATTTTTTCGACATTTTTGGTCCATGGAAAGCAAGGCCAATGCTTTATGCAATATAGTATTTTGAGCTTTCGTTAGTAATGAATGCAGTGCGTATATTGCATCACGCGCACTTGCGCCAATAGCAACCTAAATTATCGTTATAAAATTAATATTATTTGTATTACTTACTATTATAAATTAGAGCTTTTTTGCCTTAGTTTGTCTTGTGTTATACAATTAGCCAAATTCACGAACTATTAATTAATATTTATAACGAATTTATCTTTGAAACCCAAGGATCATGCAACACAATGAACTTTAGCGGCGAGTATTTTTTAATAAATAGATAGTTCTTATTAAGAGTTTCTTCATCATTTATAAGAAATAAAATATTGAAATTTTCAGTATGTCCACAAATATTATTCAAATATTGATCTTAATATTAACAGGATTAATTAGGCCGTCTTTTCCGCCAATTATTTCCGTAGGCGAACTCGTTCCTGATACTACACGTAAAGGAAATGTTCCGAAAAAGGCTTCCAACGCGTTTTTTATTTATCGAAAATCCTGTATCCGGAAAATGAGAGTTAATGGGATTTCTATTCCTATGCCAAAAGCTTCAATTATTATAGGAGTATTATGGGCTAATGAGCTACCATTAGTGAAAAATGAATATAAGCAACTGGCTGAAGAAGCAAAGGAACTTTATAATATTCGATATGGCGTAATTCACGAAAACAACGCAAATACTTTGGATGTGGCTACACCAAATACAAATAATGCGACTATGTCTAATCCTGCGACTAATACTATGGATATGGCATTGCCTACTAATATGAATTGGGTTTGGTGTACTCCAGTTCATTCAATAATATCTCTTGAATACAACTGCGACCACGTCGAAAGTGAGCAGACTGAAAAATTATCTGACTTTATTATTTTTAATTCCATATCAACCGAGAATGGCGTGAATCAAAATGACTTTTTCATTTAATTCATTCATTAAAGCTCATTTCAATTTGCAGAGAATAATAATGATACTAACAATTTTTGATTCTTACAAGGTAATAAAAAATAGATTTTTTCATAACATTTGCACCAGTGTAACTTTGAAACATGACATCTTAAAAATTATCAGACCATTTTTCTAAAATCTACTACTATTGAATTCACCAAAACTAGATGAATTTAACGATAATGTGTTTTGAAATAATGAATTCATTCTATATCTGAATTGAATCTGTGGATCACGAGACATTGTATCCCCTTTTTTTTCATTTTTTAATCAGATTTTTCATCCAGAATTTTTATAACTAAATTTGTGGTTTTCCGGATATAAAAAAATCAGATTTTTGCCTGATCATTTTTTTTACAGGGCTTAATGGATGATTTATCCTTTAAATCTTAGACTGTTTGAATTTACCATAATTCGCATTCTTGGATACTCCCATTATAATGTATCCCCCATAATTTGTCTCCATATTTAGGTTGATAAAATATACTGTATCCAGAATATTGTATAATATATCTTTCGTAATTTGGTTTCAAATACACTATTTAGTATTTAGCTTTTTTATTTATGCTATTAGTTTACATAATTAGTTTCATTTTTATAATAACTATCAAATGTATTTATATTACTTTTTTCTAAATCTCCAAACTCAATATAATCATTAATATTACTATTATTTGTAATATTAAAAGCAGAATTTGAACTTGTCCTAATTCCAAGTTCATTATTACTAATATTATTTTCTTCATCTTCTTGATTAGTCATAGTTACTTGATCATAATCAAAGATTAAATATTCTTCAGATCTATTTCAAGTATTAGATATATCACAATATTTGAATGTTCAAGAAACTATCTTTGAATCTATACTTTCTCAAGCAATTTTAACTTATTGTGCAATGACAGAATATGTATAACATTAAATACAATCAGCAGGAGTAAGTTAGTGAACTTTTTCAATTGTCCAAGTATTATATTATTAATATATTTGTATTAACAAAAATAAGACAAGATAAAAAACAATCTGAAGTATTACAATTTTTATAATAATTATCTTGTCTTGAGTGATTTGTTTAATTCAATGTCTAATAGTTAAAGTTTTGAGATTAATTTACTAAAATAATTACAATATTAGTTGCTTTTTCATTAAAATATCATTTAACAGAATTAACTAAATATTCAACAAAAGAATTTAATACTAAAAAAGATCAGGAATTGACAGATAATGGTGTCCGAGTATTCCACACATTCTCAATCCAAAAAAGCATTTCTCCATTATTCATCCACCCTTTTTTGTTGGTTTTAATTATTACACCTGATGAAAATTCTTGATTTTATAAAACTTTAGCCAGCTTGTTAGAATAACCAATGGTAATTTTTTATTATCAGTCATGCATGATAAAATAATAATAAAATTGAATTTGTCATGTCCACAAGTACGAATTCCAATTGTGTGAGCACCAATTTATCAATTGTTGTTTGGCTTAAAAGGTCAAAAGATATAGAAGTTTCATCTATATTACTGATCAAAAAAGCTGGATAATCAAATTGTATTCGTCAATATAATACAAATGCCAAGAATTCATGTTGTTTTTCTTCAAGATCTTTAGGCAAATGTTGTGCTATAGTTGTTTGATGGTGATTACTTAATTGATGGCAACACAAAAATCCATCTAACTATTTGTTGCTAAAGCTAAATTGGTCAATTCTAGGATATACATCCTTAAAAAAGAGAGATCTGGTGAGTGCTTTTGCTTTGGTTTGAATCATACTTCGTGATACTTCTTTGAAGATCTCCAATCCATTCTTCAAGATTACATTTGAGCTTAGGATACTTGGATCTTGCTTCTGTATTAAGTTATCTAACTTGAGACCAGACATTTATAAGCAAGTCTTGTTTTTTCTCCATTTTCTGATTTGTACTGGCTTGATATTGAACTCGTCAACAGTTGCACATACACTTTCTATTGGATGCTTCTCCAAATAAATTAAAATTGAGAGTTTTTCATGTGCCATCCATGTTCTTTTTTTGGTTTTAAGAACAGAATTCTTTATTTGCGTATTTTATTACTAAAATTTATTAATCTCATTAAATACATATAGATTTTCCAAACTTTTCTTACCAAGTAGACGTGAAAAGACGTGAAAAAAATGAATAAGAGATACTGATCATTACCAAAAACTGAATTATTTAATCCAAATTTTGTGATATACAGATGTCTTATTGCCAAATTTAATTATTAACGCTGTATAAAATACCTCCCATAATCAGTACGTACTCCCATTATACAGTACCTCCCTAATTGTGCATCCACCACTGGATAATGTATTCAGGTACAAATCAAGTTTCACAGGCCTAGAATATAACATATCCGGGTATCCAAGAATGCGAATTACGGTAATAGTTCGTTTAACATTCCCCCCTTCTCTTTTTAAATTAAACACCAATCAGAAATCAGAATCTATAAATAGATCTCACGTTGATATAGGATGTTAATTAATTTTGTTCTCTCTTCCAAATATGATATTAAACAAATTATCTAATTTAAACAGCCTTATTATAAACTAAATTAGTTTATTAGTATCATTGAATTACTCGTTTAAAGCCAGTTGATTCTAAGTCAGATTTGTCTATTGTGAAGGAATTTTCAATTAAGAATTTGTATAACAATAATACCGAATTTATTTGAAAGAATCATAACAGTTTTTAACTGGATATCTTAATAAAACGTATAAATTTCTTTTTTTTTGACTTCGGTTTAACGAGAGTCAACTGTAATTCTGAGATAATAAATAAAAAACTTCTGATTGCTACAAATATTTAAGGATTTACTAGATTTGATAATGAGTTAAAATGAAACTAATTGAGGTACAGTGGGTAATCAAAAAGGTTCGGCCAGAATTATTTTTGCATTTTGTGGTAGCTATTGTTGAGTTTATTCAAAATATAACAGGATCCAGTTTTTTCCATGTGGTGTAGTATTTTCAGGAGAACAATACAACATCACATAGGTCAAAGGTTGCAACAGCTGTTCGCGAAGCTTATAGAGTCAAGACGTTAGTTTGACCTCCACAAAGTCTCGATTTGAACCACATAAAAAATTTATGGCCCTGCATCGACTACACACCCCTACAGTATATTACCGGAAATTTCAAAAATGAATTTGTCACTTTGGAACCCGATATCTCGACACCCGGTGATCCCATTCGAACAAAGGTATCACCATTAGATTGGTCTCGACTATAGAATCTAATGGTGATATCTTTGTTCGAATGGGATCACCGGGTGTCGAGATATCGGGTTCCAAAGTGACAAATTCATTTTTGAAATTTCCGGTAATATACTGTAGGGGTGTGTAGTCTCACAGAACTCAAACAATACGTGAAAGTGTCTTGAAATGATATTGTATCCGAATACTATCGAAAGCTTATTTATAGTATGTCTGATCGAATTGTCACGGTTATTGCTGTAAATGAATATCATAGAAAGTATTAATATTAGTACGTAGACTTGCAAACAAATAATAAATAAAAATAAAGTTTAAATATTAACTTCTAATTCTGTTTTTGAGTTGTCAAATTTAATCGTTTATAAGTGGTCGTACCTTTTTGATCACCTACTGTATGTTATGTTTTTTCATGTAGGTGAGGTGTAAGATCGTGACGATGCGGAAGGAAAGATTGGTTACAGTCTAAAAAAACTAAAGACGAAGAAGAGCTGGTTGATTCTAATAACTCATAGCTGAATTGCTGCTGAAACTTTCATTTGTAATTGATTGAGATTTTTTGTAATTGAAGGCTTTTTTTTATAATTATAAAAAGATAGCGGATCTAATCGCGCATTTAGACGTTAAAACTTGATGCATTGTTGCGGTTACTAGCTATGTTACGACTTTTGAACAGTTTTTTATATCTCAGATAATAATACATTATAAAATTAGGTTTTATTTTTCGTACTTGGCTTGCCATATCAAACGTAAATAGTTAATATTAGCAAGGCTTACAAAATTTAATTCTTTGATTTGCTACATAAATGATTCTTCCTTTACGTGCCAAACGTTTCTAGCTTTTGTGAAATAATATATCTTTAAGACAAAAATTGGGTGTAAGGCATAAGAAAATTATTTTTAGGACTCTGACATTTGCAAAGATAAATTGATAAACCGAGCTTCGATAATTCGAACATAAGTTGATTCTAGAAACAATTATTATAAGTCAGCCGAATTTACTAAATGAGTTTTTACAATAGTCTTGACGGTTTTATTTTTGAATAACGATAATAAAATCAAATAAGTGACGATCTACTAAATTGCATACATATGCTAGAAAGTTGACGTTAAACATGCATTTTTTTACATATCGATATATTGTAAAACCTAGGATATTTGTTGTTACCGCCGGTAAACAAACTTCCTCGATTACGGTTCTTCGAGGGTAATCGATGAAAATCGAGTCACGGATGCCAATAACGACGGATCAGTGTATGTGTAGCGTCGCTGATTCCCAAAGCTGGTAGAATTTACAGCAACCACTACGGCGAATTCCCATCATGATCGTCCACAACACTGCAAGTTTCCCAATCTGGTAAGCTCTTTAGTAGCTAATTCCACTGCATTATCAACAAATACTGCTGCACGAATGTCAACAAATGCGATTTGTTATTTTTCAGCATGACGACATGCTAATAAAAACCACAAACTCCCTTTTTAATATACGATACAGAACTACGCCATTCCCCGCGTCTTTTTCCAGTGTTTCTGCATCATTTTCAGCATCTCCTCATTGTTTTTCAGCGTCTCCTCATTGTTTTTCAGCGTTTCTGCATCATTTTCAGCATCTCCTCATCATTTTCAGCGTCTCCCTGTCATTCTTTAGCACAATTCCATTAGTTTTTGATTCATTTTGTAACAATTACTTCTATAGAGCGTCCGTTATGAACTCTTTATTTTTATTAATAGTAAAAACGTAATGCTTTCTTTTTCT